GCCCCCGCCGACCACCACCACTCCGCCGCCGCCACCCTCCAGCGACCCGGCAGCCTCCTCGCAGCAGCGGCAGGTAAGCCCCCCGCGGCCGACGGGAGGGAGGGAGGGAGGGAGGGAGAGGGGAGGGGGGCAGGCAGCAACGCGCAGCCTCCCTTGGGACTCGCCCCCCACCCCCACCGCCCCCTTTAGCCACTCTGCACCCCCCACCCACGGAGGGAGGGACGGCTTTAAGACGCCAGCCAGCCAGCCAGCCAGCCAGCCAGCGCGCCCGGTGGCCTGCCGTGGCTGCGGCTCTGCCGGGCTGGTGCGCAAATCCCCTCCGCGCCCCTTTTGGGAGCCACGTTCTCGGTCGGGATGGGAGAAGCGGGGCAGGCGCCGGGAGAGGGCTGCGGGTTGCATTCTGAGAAGTCTGGGGACGCGGGGCTGTAGCAACAGCTGCCCTGCCCTTCTGTGGGCGGAGGGATCTGGATGGAAACAACGCCCCCCCCCCTCCCTCTGAGCCTGACACCTGGCCGTGCCGTGGGTTCTCTGGCCAAGCAGCCTCTTTCTCAGGGTCCAGGTGGAGCCGCCCTGTTGGTCTCCAGCAGCAGAACGTGTTTTTGTGCCTGAAGGAGTGTGCTGGCACACAGAAACTTATCCTTTGGGTAAAACTTGGTTGGTCTCCAAGGGGCCCAGGCTGGACTCAGACTTTGTTCTTCTTCTCGATGTGATTTTTAATCCACCTTCCCAAAACAGTTAATGGTCAAATATCTGTTTGCAGAACCAGTTGGGCTGAAATGTTTGGGGGTGTTGTCCAAAGGCACCCGGCCCAGCAAAAGGGGAGTCCGGGAGCCCCTTAAAGGCAAACAGCATTTATTTCAATATGAGCTTCCCAGAGCCACAAGTTCACTTCAGATGGGACAGAAGACGGGGGTGGGGGGGATCTTATGGGGAGCGGGGAAGGGGGAGGGGGGTCAAAGTTTGGTGTGAATTAGGCCACGAGCCTCTCAAGGAGGTATATACTTGAGAAGAATTATCTGAATCTGAGCATGAAAGTCTGGTTGAGAGTCTCTGGGGGAAATAAAAGGAGTAAGAAATAGTATTGATGTCATGGTGGGGATCTGCTATAGACCACCAAGCCAGACAGAGGATTTGGATGAGACACTCCTACAACAGATTACAGAGCTCTCACGCAGACAGGACATGGTGGTCAGGGGAGGTTTCAGTTACCCAGATATCTGCTGGAAGTCCAACACTGCTAAGAATGAAAGGTCCAATACATTCCTGACAACTTCATAGTCCAGAAAGTGGCAAGGGAAACAGGGGGATCTGCTATCTTGGACTTGATTCTTACCAACAGGGAAGAACGGGTTGACGAGGTGAAGGCAGTGGGCACCCCGGGGAAGTAGTGACCATGTAACTTTGGAATTTACAGTGTTGGGGAAGGTAAAAGCTGTACATAGTAAGACATATAGGTTGAACTTCAGGAAAGCAAATGTGATAAACTTAAAGTGATGTTGGGTAGAATCCCATGGTCAGAAATACTTAAGGAGAAGGGAGCTCAAGAGGGCTGGGGGTGTCTAAAAGTGAAACACTGAAGGCACAATCACAGACGGTTCCTATGGGAAGGAAAAATGGGGGGGGGGTGCTAAAGAAGCCCAGGTGGCTCCAGAAACAGCTTTCTAAGGACTCATTCAGAAAGCGGAAGGAGGGCCTCATAACCGAGGATGAATACAAACAGATAACCAGGGCTTGTAGAGAGAGAGTTAGGAAAGCTAAAGCTCAGTATGAGCTTAGGCTAGCGGGAGATGCTAAAAACAAAAACAAAAAGGGTTCTTCTGTTCAAAGTAAGAACATGGTAGGCCCTTTGCAGGGACAGGAAAGGGAAATTGTAACAGGTGATGAAGAGAGGGCAGAACTGCTCAATCCCTACTTTTCCTCAGTCTTCTCTCAACATGGCAAAAAACAGAACACATGATGAGGGAAGGGAGTTGCTGCCTAGGATCGGCATAGGGGCAGTACATAAACTCCTACTTTCTTTAAATGAAACTACGTCCTCGGGGCCAGATGAGCTGCATCCAAAGGTACTAAAAGAACTCCATCTGTACTATACCTGGGAAAGTTTTAGAACTAATAATCAGACAGTCCTTGAACATTTAGAAAGAACAGCTGTAATTGCTAAGAGCCAGCATGGGTTTCTCAAGAACAAGTCCTGTCAGTCTAACCTTACTCTATTTTTGAGAAAGTTACTACCTTGCTGGATAAGGGGAATGCTGTAGACATAGCTTATCTTGATTTTAGTCAGGCTTTTGATAAGGTTCCACATAATATACTAGTTGATAAATTGGAAAAATGTGGTTTGGATCCTATGACAGTTAGGTGGATCTGTAACTGGTTGACAGATCACACCCAAAGAGTGCTTCTGAATAGTTCCTCATCCTCTTGGAGGGGAGTGACAAGTGGAGTGCCTCAAGGATCTGTCCTGGGATCTGTTTTGTTCAACATCTTTGTCAACAGTTTGGATGAAGGGATAGAGGGACTGCTTATTAAATTTGTAGATGATACTTGACAGGCTGGAAAACTGAGCTAAGAAATGTAATGAATTTCAATGGGGATCAATGTCAAGTTCTGCATTTAGGTAGGAAATATCAAATGCATAATTATAGGTTGTGGGAGACTTGTCTTGGCAGTAGTATGTGCGAAAAGGATCTAGGGGGTCTTAGTAGACCATACACTGAACATGAGTCAGCAGTGTGATGCAGTTGCTAAAAAGGCAAATGTGATTTTGGGCTGTATCAACAGAAGTATAGTGTCCAGATCACAAGATTTGATGGTACCACTTTGCTCTGGTTAGACCTCACCTAAAATATTGTGTTGAGGTTCGGGCACCACACTTTCAGAAGGATATAGACAAGCTGGAGCATGTCCAGAGGAGAGCAATGAAGATGGTGAGAGGTCTGGAGACCAAGTCCTATGAGGAAAGGTTGATGGAGCCTGTTTAGCCTGGAGAGGAGATGACTGAGATGATATGATAACCATCTTCAAGTACTTGGAGTTGTTTTCTGTTGCCACAGAAGGTCGGACCAGAACCAATGGGTTGAAATTAAATCAGAAGAGTTTTTGACCAAAAGTTAGGGAGGACTTTATGACCGTTAGAGCGTTCCTCAGTGGAACAGGCTTCCCCGGGAGGTGGTGGGCTCTCCAAACAGAGGCTAGATGGCCATCTGACAGCAATGCGGATTCTGTGAACTTAGGCAGATTGAGAGGGAGGGCAGGAAGGTTTGCCTCAGGGCTTCGTTCTTGTGGCCCTTTTTTACACACCCAGGGAAATGCTGATTGCCACTTTGGGCTCAGGAAGCAATCCTGGAAGTTTTTTGTCATCTTCTGGGCGTGGAACAGTACTCACTACGAGTGTGGAGGGGGAGGTATTTGTGAATTTCCTGCCTTGTACTAGATGACCCTGGAGTCCCCTTCCAGCTCTATGATTCTATATGTTCTTTCAGAGCTGTTCTCTCAGGAGCAGTCCTCAAGAGAGCTCTCTCAGCCCCACCTTACCTCACAGGGTGTCTGTTGTGGGGATGGGAAGGGAAAGGAATTGTAAGCCACTCTGAGACTCCTTCAGGTAGTTTGTTGTGTTGTGTTTTGTTGGATTCATGATTCATGATGGAGATCAGCCATTTCATTGTTAGGAGGAAGGGCAACAGTTTGGAAATCTTGGGATTCTCAGGCGCTTAAGCAGATTAATCACGCACATACACACATCTCCTTTTTCCATTGATGGACTCTTAGCTATTTGCCAGGTTCTCTGTTTCCTGGAGCTTATTTGGGCTGCAAATCCTGTGCCCGCTTTTCTGGAAGTGTTGATGGTTAACCATAGTGGAATTTAGCTCTGAGTAGTCACACCTGGGATTACGTGTTCAGTCTTCATCAGGCCTCTTGGTGTTGCAGGGGGAAGGCTTTTTTTCTTTTCTTTCTCTTTTGGTTAATTTACATGGTAAGATTTTTGTGCATAACTGGTGAGTCTCCTGAATAAGTAGAGATCTTCCCCACTTTATCTGTGAGTGGCCCAAAGTCCTTTTGGGCCGGTAGACCTCAGAAGGAAAGTTTTCACTCAGGTCTGCCTGACCTGCTTATTAAGTGGCCCCGCTGCAGAAGGCCAGTGACCTTGCTCAGAGAGACCCTCTGCAAATACATCTCAAGGACAATTGTAAGATTCCCCCCCCACGTACACCCCAAACTGCTATAATTTGGCAATGCAGTAAACATTCCCTGAATGCTATGTATCAAAATTCTTTCCATAAAGATATATCCCTAAAAAATTAGAAGCTGAATCTACCTAGATTTCTGATGTTGAACTTGGCTGATTGGATTCTGCACCTTTATAACATGAACACGTGTATTGTTGCTTCTTCCTGGAGAAAGGTGTTTGCCAGTGCAGTTGAGTGGTTGAGGCATATGGGGTAAAAGGCAGATTGGCATTTTGGTTTTTTTGTGAACTCCTATGCTTCTTTGAGTGAGAGATGTTGCTGTCAACTTTGGAGCCTTATTTCAACCAGAAAAGTAGAGTGTGATTGAAACTGGAGGATCTGCGTGGCATGGCATGCAAGTAAGCTGAGCCTTCCTGTTCCTTTTGTCAGCTATAGAGTATCTGGCTTCTGTTGTGAATCTGTTCACTGAGTGGCAGATAGATGGAAGTAGACTTCATTTATTGCAAATAATGTAAAACTTAGCTTTCACCAGTGGATTTTGAGGGTGTTTCTGTGATACTTAATCAGATGTGGAATTCCTTTCCAACCTTTGTCCTGTCCAGAGAAATGTTGGGGTGAAGGCTTGGACTTTAGGTTCCCCTTCGACACTGATGTTGTGCAACGTCAGACCCATTAATAATAAGACCAGCGCAGAATATAGATCTGGCTTGCGTGACCAAGACTTGGGCTTGGGGGGGGGGGGCAAAACAATTGCCTTGAAAAAGCTGCCCCCCCCCAGTTTCTCAGCCCTTCATCAGTCCTGAACGTGAGGGCAGGGGGTGAGGGGGTGGGAAGCTTTACTCATCCTGGAGGCTTTCTCCTTCAAACCACTCTCCGCCTCGAAGAC